CGTTTGACTGACGCTTTGGGAGAGGTTTCAAAGAACGCTTCAAAGAGGACCCCTGGAGCATCCTGGAGCCCTTGGCCCTGCCTTCGGCTGCCTTCGGCCTGAGCATTCGAAGAGGTCAGAGCGACCTGAGAGGGCAAGAGGCAGTCTGATACAGAGAGGACGCAATTCTGGCTCTAGCAGACTCCAGCAGCGCACGATTGAACCTTTTTCAGTGAAACTACTTGCAGAATGTCCGCGAACTAATGAGGTTCATTGGAGGTTCGAAGCTTGTGGAAAAGGGCCAATGCGCTTCGCGGTCACCGGCCTGCTGCCATCTCTAAAACAAGTCGAATACCTTCCGAAAGCGTGATTCCCCGGCTCAAACGGCATAGTGCAGCACGGTGAGCTCAAGCATCCCTTGGTTGTTCGCACGAATTCTTGCCAACAACTCTTCGGTGGTGCCCGCTTCACCGTTGACTCCGATGATGCGGTCATGAACGTGCACGGCCTGATCCGGCATGCTCTCGTTCCATTGGCTTACAAGGCCGGGAGTTATCTTAGAAATCCATGGGGCAACAGCGCCAACTCGCTTGTAGTTGATGATGAGGCCGATTTCCCCTGGCCGCCGTAGTGATACTCTTCTCTCCTCCGGTCGCTGCATTGTAATCGAGAACTCCTGCGTATCTGGATTTCCAAGAGCTTTCGCTAGCTCTATGCTCGATCCACGAACTCCGTTCACTTCCAGCACCCGGTCCAGAAGCATCACGGTTTTGTCTTCGGAGCATTCCTGGTTCCAGTCCCGAACACTTCCTTCGCCGATGTCCTTGACAACAGCACACTCCGGGTTGGTCACGTCCAAGACAATACCCAGGGGTCTGCTTTCCGTTGACACGGAAACCAAGAAGACATCGGGTATCGAGTCTGGTCTAAAAGCTGGAGCTGTTTGAATGAAGGGCCTCGGCGCTGGCAGTCTTTCCTCAAATTCCAGGCCTGGGGGAGCCTTGTCATCTGCTGTGCAGCAGCACAGCATCGGCCCCTGGGGCTCCTACTCGCCAAGCATATGACCCATGTGTCTCGGACACCTGAGCCAAACGTGGCTACAGAAAGCGCCTCTGCACGGCATGTCGCAGGCAGAGCCTGCTGCAACGTTTGCAAGCAAGCTACTCGCAGCTACTCAGTCTCTCAATCCACATTTCTCAGGACGCTTCCGCGTACTAAACGTGAAGATTAGAAAACGACCTTCATCGTGCACACAATTGCGCAGTATGCAGGTCTGCATTGTGGAGCTTGGGTGACACGACCCACGAAAGAATCAAGACCATGTCCAGGGTGGCACTTTAGTGCGCCCTTTAGCCAAAAGGCCCTGAGTACAGCAGCCTCACAATGGAAAATGCTCGTGTCTGAGACATGGGCAAAGCAGTCAATACCGGAAAGTCTGATATACCTTCCACGCATGTATGGGGGCCGGGGGGGGGTTCGCGGCCAGATAACACGAGCCGAACATGCTAAGGCAATTCGCCCTTCCTTGCAGAATCAGGGCAGAAATACAAACCACTCTACATGACAACCTGTCCATCGGGAGATGTTCCGGATGGTCACACTGTCCGAGTCAGAGTCCTAATCCGAGTTCACTTCTGCTCCGGGATGAAAGTTTCTCGGAAAACGGTCTTCTCGATCCTGTCAGGCCAATTGTACAATGCGATTGGCTGTGTGGCGTGAAGGTCGAAACGGAACTGCCTGCACAGCTGTTCATGAAGTATACTAGTATGCGAGACTCGCCCACGGTCCTGTAGATCTCCGTCACTTCGGAGTCTGCGCTGACTTGTGCTGCTATGATGTCATCGACTTCCACCTTTCTGCGCCCAGGAAGCGAGGGACCGGGCTTTCAGCATACAGGGCCTACGATGGCCCCGGACACAGGAAGCTGCAAACCGAGGTTTCTCTCTTGTCTTCACTTAGTCCAGCGCCGAGCACGGCGAGCCCCACTTGGCCATAAACTTCTTTGAAGGACAATGCCTTGGCATGAAAGCTTCGATTGCCCCACCCGCGCCGGCAATTCGCAGGCTTTCGCACTTGTGCCCTTGAGGCCAGGCCTCTGGAGAAACTCTTCCGTGGCACGCAGCGCGCGAATGCGGGTGCGAGACCTGGGAAAGATCTCAGAGCTCACACGAAGGAGAGCACAGTCGCGGCTCTGGCCTGTAGCACCGGTATCCGTCCTTGCGCAGCTGGTGGGCATCCTCTCGGCCATGAGGGATTTCCAAGGGAGTCGCCAGATCCTTAGGCAAAAAGGGAGCGTGGAGCTCCAGATCAGCGGGCGACGTCGCGACTCCACTATACGAGAGTTCTTCCTCGGACTGAGCATGAACATCGATCCATGGCTCATAAGCTGCCGATGTAGTCGCATAGGAAAGGATATAGTTTTCCTTCCACCGAGTGTTGGCTTGCCTTACCACGCACATCCGAGTCATGCTGATGTTGTGCGCACAAAGTTGATGAGAAAACCCTAGCTGCAACACCCCGTCAAGAATAAAGCAGCAATGACGACACCGAAGATGACGTCGATGATCGTTGCGACAGCCGAGGCACACAACGTAGTCGCCATCGACTGCAGTGTTTACGGTTTCCTCTTTGCCATCCACGACTGTGGTAATGATCTCTCCTTCAAGCAGTGCCACAAAAAGACATTCCAACAGAGGCCTCTAAGACTGCTCAGCCCCAGCCTGCTTGAGCACGGCGCAGGAAAGCAAAAGCCACTTTACGGTACCAACGCCTGGGTCCACAAGTAGCGGCTGTGTGTTTGACTCATAATTAGTCCACGCGTGTGCAGAACAGCAGGAGGAAGCTCGGGTTGGTATGGGGATCCTTTCTTCGGAATGGATGCAAGCATGCGGGTAAGCAACATCTGTAAATCGAGAAACCTGCTGACATGTTGCTAGGCTTCCAAGATGAACTCGGCTTAGGCCTGCCGCGCCCGCGCTTGTGTTGGCGCGTGGGCAGTCGCCAGATTCCAGATGTCGGTAGGGCGCACATCTGCATACTTGTCTTTCGGGAACAGTGGGAACGAACAACTTTCTGCACCGCCTGCGTCCACTCAGTGCACTCGCAGAGTGCAAGAGTCGAGTTTCATCACATCTGGGCCCCGTGGGCAGTTCAGTGAGCAGGTGCCAGGATCAGGGACCATGATGGACCATGATGACATGAGAGAGACAACACCACAAGGCATGGATGCGGAACGAAGGCCAGGGTTGGGTTGCGCAGATGCGACTGCAGGTACCTGGAATGACCTGCGGCATGGACTGATCATGCTTGCATGAGCATCTGACTCGTTGTGTCACTTCGAGGGCGCATCCAAACAAAAGTCTTGAGCTCACCGGAAAAAAGATTGCGGCCCCCTGCCGGGAATGCGAGTCGTTAGAAGCCGTCCCTGCTGTTGCCGCTCTTCTTTGTTGCTCAACAGTCTTCTTTGATGTTGCTCGACATGCCGCCGAAGTGCCCAGAGTTCAAGATCTCGCTGCTCACCCGCCGAATCATCTCCTGTCATGCTCCGATGGGTCAGCTCGTAGCTTCGGAAGCAAAGGCTGCAGAAGGTTGCAGGTCCTCTTGGGAGCAAATGTCCACACCAGCAGGTCCGTTTTGCATCTCCGGTGCAAACAAGATTTCGGTGTTCTCCTGCAAAGACAAACTTTTGCACAATTGGAACCCAACTTTCATGCCAGAAGACATCATGCGACTGCCGTCCTCTTGGACATTGGTCGTCTTTGGGTCTGCCTCAGGATTCCTTTCAATGACTGCCTGCTTGTTGCTGCACATCCTCGGCTTTTGCGAGGCACCATTTCGATGACCCTTCTTGTTCCGCAGAGTCCACTGACCGATCGGCAGCAGATCGATCTATCAAACAGTCTCACGGCTTGCGCCCACGGGGGTGTAGCATGAGGGTCCAAACACGTATTCATGACCATCAGAATAATGCTCGACCTTCAAACAAGTCCTAAACGCTGCACCTGTGCGCCTCTAACTCATGCAGCCTATCAATCGAGAACACGCCCCCTGTTCTACGCAGGCCTGTTTAAGCAATTCGCCAACACAAAGGTTGGGGGAGGCAGCGGTTGAGAACTTCGTAGCCAAGCCTTGTAGCACTTTTGAAGAGAGGGTGCCCAGAGGCGATCCGATCATTGATGTTTGTCAGCCTTCTTGGGCACACCACTTCTGTGTCCATGAGATCCCAACTCGTGCTGAAACCAAGGGACCCAGTGCGATACATTGCTAGCATGTCACATGAATCGAGCCGAGGCACCTCAGCAACAAAAGCTCAGGATCCGAAGAGCTCCACTTGCCCTGTGCATGTGGAACGTTTCCTTTCTTTTCCACAGTATCGTCGGATGTCTGGTCGACTTTAGGCTAGCAAGATCCAAAGAATCAGTCTGGGTAATTACAGCGGGCTGTGGCTGCGATTTCGAACCAGGGGCTCTACAGGAAAGGATGGCGCTCGACGTCATCTTCCTACAAGGACTGGTTGCACATGGACAAAGCATGCAGGAACAAGAAGCTGTGTTTTGCTTGCTGGTTTTGCAGTCGGACAAGCTGCACTGATCAGCAAAAGAAGACACGCAGAGCTGTGAGCTCTTGAGACCTGGATGGTGATGGCATCGATCCGCAGCGTAACGAAACTTCCCGCTTGATCATTGGTAGCCTCAGGTATGCACAAGTGTTCACCGATGTTCTTTGCACTCAAGGTCATGTCTAGGCCCAGTAGCAGGCCAAAGTTTCCGAGCACGGCGATAGATTTCTGCCAAAATCTCGAGACGTCTCAACGGGCTGTCATTGTGCATCCTGTCCAGGTGCAGCGTGATTGGAAGATAAGCAAACAAGACCTACTCTGTTTGTTTTCGAATCATGAAATTAGCCATGGTCTCTGCCACAATGTGGCTGCCACATCTTCACAGTGTCAGACTGTCAAGACCGGAACTGAATGAGCTGCAATGATTTTTCGAGCTATGCTATGCTATGTCCGCACACATACCACCCCATTCAGACAAACACAGACCGACAGAGAAACGGTCTGTCAGCGACACGCAGACAAAGGAACCGAAGGACAGACTCATACACGAATACAAACACGCACTTGGCTCTGCATCTCTCTACACTGTATACACATTTAAATTTCCAACACTGGAATAGCGGGTTCATCAAGCAACGCGTTTGGCGTGCATAAGCGCACACACACACACTCATAATATATATATATATACACACATACATATATATATATATTTACACATACATTCATACATATATACATACACGCAGGCAGGCAGGCAGGCAGGCAGGCAGACAGAGGCCTACAGGCAGACATGCACATGTATCATGCACATACATACATACAGACATACATACATAGCTACATAGCTACCTACACACCCACCTACCTATACTTACTATATACCTACCCACCTACCTACCTACCTGCCTGCCTGCCTGCCTGCCTGCCTGCCTACCTACCTACCTCCCACCTACCTCCCACCTACCTAGTTACTCTCTCTCTCACACAGACTCGAGTCGATCATGCCGCGAAGA